TAAACATTATTTTCGTTATTATTTTTTTTTTTGGGATAAAAGTATGTCCAAACTCAATAAAGATGTTCTTTCCCTAATATTTGATTTATTACAAGATGATTCAAGATCCCTCTTTTCATGTCTAATGGTGAATAAACTTTGGTGTGAAACTATTATTCCAATTTTATGGAGGAATCCTTGGCGTTATGCTAGTATTAATTATAGTAATAAAAGTTATTTATTCACCATTATTTCTTATTATTTATCTAATGATATTAAAGAATTCTTAATGAAGAAAGGAATCCAATTATCAACGATTTCATCCAAATCACTATCTTTTGATTATTTATCATTCTGTAGAAGTATCAATATAAATACTTTAAATATTATAATATCAATTGGTTCTTCATTAGCATTTAATCAATTTCTTTTACAACAAGAATTTTACATCCTCTTCATGAGAAAATTACCCGAGTTGAAGTGCTTAGATATGAGGTCAATTGAACATCAAATATTTTATTTTCCAGAAGCAAAAACTCGCTTTAAAACATTATGTGAATTAAAATGTGATACATCTATTGATTCTTCATATTTTTATGGATTAGCATGTATTTGTCAATATATACAGAGTATCATCATTATTAATGTAAAAACTGAGTCCAATCCTGGACTTGTTAAATTAATTGAAGTTCAAAAGAATCTCAAGTATTTTGAATGGATTGATGATTTTAATGATGATGATTTAGCAGATCCTTATAAAGATATCTTTCTTGAATTAGAAAAAAAGGGAGATATTCTCAATCATTTAGTATTATTTTTTCAATGGATTGAAGGTCTTGATTATCATTATAAATCAATGCAAAACTTACTCCCAAAACTTCATAAAATAAAAACCTTAATAATTAATGACATCAGTTTTGTTGACGAAACCCTATCAAAATTATTAGTTTATAATGATCTTGAAACTCTTAATGTAAGTTACATTACAGTATATGAAGCTTCTATCATAATCGAAAATAGTGGGGGACGTCTTAAAGAAGTATCATTAAAACCTTGTAGATTTTTAATGTGTGCAAGTAATTTTAGTGTGGACTCTCTCATTTTTATCCGTAAAATTTATGAAAATTGTCCTTTAATCGAAAGTCTTTCACTTTCATTTTCATTATCAAAAGATCATCTCACTGAACTTGAAAATTTACTAAAAGTTTGTCAAAATTTGAAATCATTATTATTAATTAGAACAAATATGTATGAAAAAGGAAGTGAAGAAAATTTATTAAAATTATTAATTAAATCAGCACCAAATAATTTAAGAGAACTTAGATTTCTTATTAAATTTGAATTCTCTTTGAAAGTCTTTGAGGAATTTTTAAAAGAATGGAGAGGACGACCTGCACTTTCTATATTAACATCTGATCCTATTTATGAAAATGAAGATTATAAAAATTTGATTAATAATTATAAAAATGAAGGAATAATTAAAGCTTTTAAGGTAGAATCTATATGGAATATAGAAAATATGAACTTCAAAATACAATGATATCATGTTTTTAATTATGATTTAACGTTAATAAAAGATTTTATTTTATAAAAGTTTAATGTGATTCTTATTACTTCCACATATGTAAAATTTTGTTTGTTAACGATCATAATACAATCAAGGATTAATATAACAAATACTTAACTAATATGATACTTATTCTTAGATTTCTGAGCTGGATCAAAGTTATCAAAGTTTTCAATAGTCAGCTGCTATTTTCGTCAATTTTTTGTTACTAGTCGGTCAGTAGTATTTTAGTTATAGACTTTTTATTAAAGAAAATTATTTTTTTAAGCAATGAATATTCTTTCTTAGTATACCAATTTATAGACTCAAAATAACGCTTACAGAATAAATATATTTTATAGTTGAAATACTCAATTACTTGTGTCCTAACCTGATTATACATCTTGATCGAAAAGTTTAGATAGAAATAATAAATATAATTTACATATAATATTCAATTGAAACATAGATTGAGCTACAGTATCTACTATCTAGTATATCGACTGTTTATATACACAGTAAGTATGACAATTAACGAAATTATACGCCATTTATATGATCATTTAATAAAAAATGTAGTGAATGAAATAATAATGAACATCATCCAATGGATCCACCAACTTCAATAGTAGTGTTATAATACTCATCATCTTCTAGACTTCATTATAATTTTGACTTGAAAAAATTGTTTGTACATTACTATTATTGTCAGATTAAATTGTCCGAAGCGGGAGCGGAGGATTTTTACATAACTACGCAAAATGCAATGTTCGTCGTGAATTTACACGCACGTGATCAGGTGTATGTACCTTAAATTTTGATATTGTTAACCTACTTTTTTGACTTATTATTTGCTTAGGCTTTGTTATTCTTAAATTTTGTTAAACTTTAGATTGGACTTATATTGAATTATTTGGATTTAACCTAATCTTTATTTTACAAGAAAAATTTATCTCGAAAACAAAGTTAATTAGTATATATAATCAATCTCAATGATGTTCTTTTTAAATCGTTGTCGTTTGAAGACTTCAAAATATAAAAAATCCAAAAAGTTTCGAGAGACTGTTTGAAGAAAGGTGATTAATTTCAATGATTTCTTAATACAATTTTATTTTATTATCATAAACAATTAAATTATTATTTGATTTCAGTATTTAATTTATTACCACAATTATATTGTTAACACAATTACTCTCCAGAACCGTGAACGCTTCGGACGTTTAACGGTCACCGTTGTCTAATTAATTAAACACAAGAGTAAGTGAGCAAATAAAAATTTAATGTTGAACAAACGAACAGCTAGCAAATGATCCATACGACCATACCACACTCATACTAGTTATTTAAATATAAAGTTCTTATTATGTAAATATTAGAAATAAAAATATAATATAATTAAATGATTTATAACTTGCATTAATGCATTCTATATTAATGATTTTTCTTTAGTTAGTTTAAATGTTACATAAATGTACCTACCTTTTAACAGTGACTAGTACGATAGTACCCAATAAAGAAACGAAAACAAAAAATAATATTTATATCAACCTTAATGCAATAATGATTTATTTGTAAAGGTAAACTTTCGAAGAATTACTTGTGTTCATTGTAGTCAAATTATTACAATTTTTTTTTTATTTGCAATGCTAAATTTTTGCACTTTAAGCATGCATGTATCGATCAATTTTCTCGAAATGACAATTAATTATAACGTTAAATCAATTAAAGAAAAACATATACCTCAAAAAGATTAAGATGAACGTTGGTTAGGAAGATACAATCGTAAGCACAATTTGTAACATGTAAAGCCTCGTATATTGATAGATACTACGAGCACAAGGTTAATTCAGGGAAGAAATTAATAAATACTCTATAGAAAAGAAATTGATAAAATAATAAATGGAGAGTGTAACAAGTATGGTATGATGTTAGTGTGTCAAGGTATATGGTAAAAGTATGGCAAAAGTATAATATACCCATAATTTTTTTTTAACCATTTTATTAATTATTATATTCGAAGTCAGTGAATAATACAAAAATACATAAAGTAAAGAATAAATTACTGATAGCCCTATAACTAACCAGTCTATCTAAAAGGACTATAACTAACTAATAAAAAATAAATTCTAATTGTTGAATTTAAAACTAATTGTTCGTTTGGTTACTAAACTAAAAAAAAAACATTTTTACGAAATTTTTTTGATATTTTCCTGTGTTTTTGAATTTCTACCTATTCTATAATAAACTTGCTACAACTAATACATTGGTAACGCTAAATACGAAATAATATAAAATATTAAAAATAAAGCCTAATTAATTCCCGTTAAACGGAAACGTATTAGAATAATAGCCAAAAATTCTTCACTTGACTACGATAATCTGTAACCCTTTTCCAACGAAGAAAAAACCTTGACCTTACTTTCAAATTTGTTTACTGTTGAACGACATATTGTTTATTCGCTATCAGAGTCGGCTCTGCTTCCCTGAACTGTCACAACGCGTTTCTTATTTTCGTTCAATTTTTCAGTTTCTGATTCCACTTATCTTTTCCTTTACTTATTGTGTCTTCTTTACCGCTAATCTTGTTAATTTTTTCACTAAAATTGTTGTTTAATTGGTTGAATTTTTCGACTACTTCTTTACTCGGCACTGTTGAAACCATTGATACTAGGACTCGATAACGCATCTTCAAATTGTTCGTCCTCCGATGGAGGATGTGAACATACCCATAATTCACATGGCACGCATACGTACATATTATTTACCGATATTTTCTGAATAATATTTAGGTATGATACGATATAAAATATTTGAGAAAATATAGTGGTAAATTTAATCCCTATAAAAAAAGAAAATTCGGAATTTGTCCTGAAAAGTATGGAAAATGTCCGGAAACTTTCCGTGCGTCCGGAAAACATTCGGAAACGGTCATGTTTTGGAACATTTTCCGGACGCTCGATTCTGGACAAATTCTGGACAAATTCTGGAGTGTCAAGAAAATGTCTGGAATTTGTGCGTCCGGAAAGTGTTCCAAAACGTGACCGTTTCCGAATGTTTTCCGGACGCACGGAAAATTTCCGGACATTTTCCATACTTTTCAGGACAAATTCCGAATTTTCTTTTTTATAGGGAATTCAGTTATTTGCATTAATAAATACTGTATGATTATCATATTGCCACGTTAGTTACTAAAAAAGTAAATAATTATTTTAACGATTAGTTATTTGTTAATAATCGTAAAAACAAGAAATTATAAATTCAAATTATATAATGTGTATTTTAGTAAGCATTACGTTATCTCGCTATAACAACATCTTCGGCATTGATATCGTGTAACTATCATGTGTTATGTGTAACATCCCGTGTATCTGCATTAAACCGTGCATGCTATGTTAAGCTAATAATAGAACTGCGTTACACAGAATCATCCAAACTGATAATTGTTACATCACTCGGCCTATAAAAGATTTTCAATACTTTTCCTCCATTTTTTTTCTTGGAAATATGTTTTCGAGTCTTTTTTTTAATATAAGAAAAAATTATAGCTTTAAAAGGAATAATAATTTTTTTTTTCATAAATTTCATCAAAAATTTACAAATTTATCAGAAAATTATGAAATAAAATCAAAAATATTACAAAATAATGTACAAAAACCGTCAAAAAAATTAGGAAGAAGTTATGATCCAGTAAGATTAATTAAGATAAAAAAAAAAAAATAACTAAATACATAATTAAAAAATTTTTAATAATAATATTATTAAACCTTTTCAATTTTTGTAAAGGCCATAGTTGAACAGGGATGGTATGATTGGTGGGATCATAAAGGTATGCTCAATTAAACAATTAAATCATATAATTATCAAATTTTTATTTATTTATTATTTAATTAAGGATTCTTTGGATCAACGAATTTGGATTATGAGGATCAAAAAAATTTTATTATGCTTTCACCACCTCCAAACGTTACAGGATCTTTACACATAGGACATGCGTTGACATTTAGTATACAAGTAAGAAAAAGAATAAATAATCTAATATTGATCTATCGGTTATTTATAAAATGTTGGAATTAAAATAATATTTTTGATAGGATGCTTTAAGTAGATGGTATCGAATGTCTGGATATAATGTGTCTTGGATACCTGGAACAGATCATGCTGGTATTGGAATGCAATCGGTTATCGAAAAAAAACTTTTCAATGAAAGAAATGTAGTATTGAATGATATTTATTAATATTTGTGATAAAAGAAAAATTTAAACAATAAAAATTTTACCTGATAGATTACTCGACATGATCTTGGAAGAGAGAATTTTGTCAAGGAAGTTTGGAATTGGCGTGAACTTCATGGTGACAAGATAATTAAGCAATTGGTGATTAACAGATTTATCCTTTTTTTTATATTATTTTATTCATTAAATTAACGTTGTTTATATTATTTAAGAGACGTTTGGGTTCTTCATTGGATTGGAATAATTTATTTTTTACAATGGATGCTCCACGCTCAAAAGCAGTAACGAATGCGTTCATTAAATTGTATAATGATGGAATGATTTATCGGGATACTCGATTAGTAAATTGGTGTTGTGCTTTAGGAACTGTTATTTCCGATATCGAAGTAAGATAAACTTTTTTTATTATTATTAGTAAGTTTATATTGTATTCAAATATTTTAACCATGATTTCGCAAAGGTAGATTACAAATCTATTTCCGAACAGACTTTTTTGAAATTACCTGGAAGAGAAGAGGAGTAATTAGAAGATTCAAATTTTTTCCTACACTATTTTGTGGCAAATAATGATTAATTATTTTTATAACATTTTTTTATTTAAGAGTTGAGTTCGGTGTTCTTCATAGATTCGCGTATCCTTTAGCTGATAGTATGTCTAATGTGAAAGAATTAGTTGTGGCCACGACGAGGATTGAAACAATTTTAGGAGATACTGCTGTTGCTATACATCCTGATGACCTTCGTTACAAGGTATGAATTAAAAAAAAATTAAACGCAATTCAAGTTATATTGCTAAATTTCTTATAAATATTATAGAGTTTACATGGAAAATATGTTATGCATCCTCTGCTTAATAAAAGAATTCCAATTGTGTGTGATCCTGAACTTGTTGATATGGAATTTGGAACGGGTGTTGTAAAGGTAAACGAATGAATATATGTATAAATATGGCTTTTTAAATTATAAGATTCATTATTATAATATATTTGCACTAGGTAACGCCTGCACATGATACGAATGATTATGCTTGTGCTCGTAGGAATAAGTTGCCTATTATAAATATATTTAATAAGAATGGGACATTAAATGATAACTGTGGGATAACCGATTTGATTGTAAGTCGAGAGGGAGTCATTAGTTGCTTTTATTATTTTAAAAGAGAATTACTGTATTAATCTCATAAAATTTAAATTCCTTTTGGATTAAACAGAATAAGGATAGATTCGATGTACGCAAAATCATCATTGACGTATTGCAATTTTTGGGATTTTATCGTGGAAAAGATACGAAGCATGAAATGAGGATCGCAATATGTTCTCGATCCGGAGATGTGATTGAACCTTTATTACAACCTCAGTGGTAAAGTCATGAATATTTGAAATTTAAAATTCATTCATGATTGTCTAATATATATATATATATAATGTGTTTTTTCAGGTATTTAAAATGTAAAGACATGGCTCAGAGAGCTTTACGTGATGTTGAAAGTGAAAAGATCGTAATCAAACCAAATTACCATACCGAAGAATGGAATAGATGGCTATGTGTGTATTAAAACATGATGTAGACGTACTTTTTTAACGTTATTAACTATGATTCAAAATTTTTATAACATAGGGAATATACAGGATTGGTGTATATCAAGACAATTATGGTGGGGTCATCCTATTCCTGTATATCATTTATCATACGAAGGTCAACCAACCAGTAAGTTATTATAAATATTAATTATATTAATTTTTTTTTAAAAAAAAATACTTAAATAAATTAATAAATAAATTATTATTTCATTATTTATTTAGGTGATGGTTTGTGGTTTGCTGCTGCTTCAACTAATGAGGCTGATCAGCTTGTCAAAGAATACTTTAAACAAAATAATATCTCATTACAGACTAATTATGCTTTGAAACAGGTAAGGATAATTGTTATTTTATTTTCTAAAAATTTATTTTTAACAAGTAACAACTTTATTTTAGGATGATGACGTATTAGATACTTGGTTTTCATCAGCTCTATTACCTTTATCCGCTTTACACTGGAATGGAAGTAATGAAATTCCCGTATGTACTTCGTTTATTATAGCGGATTATTTTTAGAATAAATCAATAATTTAAGAATAACAATTCACTTTTAATAGATAAATTATCCCACAGATATGGTTGAGTCAGGATTTGATATTTTGTTTTTCTGGATATCTAGAATGACAATGTTGTGTACGTATTTTTCTGGAAAACCACCTTTTAAAAATATTTTATTACATGCGATGGTAAATATTTTTTTTAAAATTATATAATTAATTTTTTAAAAAAATTTATCAATGTTCTTTTTTGTAAATTATTAGGTTCGGGATTCAAAAGGACGTAAAATGTCAAAATCACTTGGGAATGTTATAGATCCGATACATGTAATTGAGGGTGTAACGTTAAAAGAAATGCAACAAGGATTATACAATAGTAATCTTCCAAAAAATGAAATAAATGAAAGCGTTGAATTGTTAGAAAAAGAATTTCCTGAAGGTATCAAAGCATGTGGAACTGATTCTTTAAGATTTAGTCTAATATTCTATACACAACAGGTAAATTAGACAAAAATTAGATGGTTAATTTATTACAAAAAATTTCGTAAATTAACACTTTTTTTTTTGGAATAGACACGTCAAATTAATTTAGATATAACGAACGTTGTATCATCAGGAAACTTTTGCAACAAAATATGGAATTTATTTAAATTTGCACATGAAAGATTCGATTCATTAAATCATACTATATCAATATACAAAACAATATCAGATTCTTCACTATGCGGATTTACCGAACATTTATCATTAGTTGATAAATATATATTATCCAAATTAGCTAATACAGTAATATGCTCTCAAAATGGATTTCAAAAATTAGAGTTACATGAAGTAACTGATATACTTAGAAATTTTATTATCGGAGATTTGTGTGGTGTTTATTTGGAATTTATTAAACCAGTCTTATACGGAAATCAGGGAAATATCGATGTAAAAGTAAGTAGTTGTTTACGTGCTTATATAATTGACGATTAATAATTACGAATATTTTCTTATATTTTATTTATTTTATTAGGCACAAAAAGCTGCGTTAAAGGTTTTGGAAATATGTTTGGATACTTCTTTAAGATTACTTCACCCTTTTATGCCATTTATTACTGAGGTATGGCATTATTTATTTATCATTTTTTTTTTTTTTTTAAAAAAAAAAGAGTGGAAATCTAACGAATAATTACCTATTGATTCCGATTAATGCATAATCTTTAATTAAATTCCGTTATTTTTATTAGGAATTATGGCAAAGTCTAGTGAATCAGTCAGAAAATAAATCTTTACCAGAATCGATTATGTTGGCTGAATATCCTAAAATAAAAGATTTTAATACATGGAAAGATAATAAAGTTGAAGACGCTATGCAGGTAAATCAAAAATATTTTTATTTTTTATAGGTTTTATAGATTTTAAGGAACCGGACTCAACGGACTCAATACCTTCTCATTATTTTTATATATTTAGACCGTTTTAGGTGTTATCCGTGCTTCACGTTCTCTAAGACAAAGAAATAACATACCATTAGGACACCCTTTACCTTTTACGATATGGACCAATGATCAAGAATTGATAAGTAATCAAGGTCCGATTAAAAAATATTTTAATGATATACAAAAATTTATTCAAGCCTCTGAAATTAAGATTATTGATTCGCAGGTAAATTTTTTAATCTTTACAAGTTAATTATTTTAATTAGATAATTTATTTAAAATACTTTTTTATTTTTAGGATGAAAATTTATTAAGTAACTTTACAGTTAGTTTCATATCATCGAATCTTAAAGTATACGTACCAATATCATCTATATATGAAATTCAATCGTCTTTACAAAAAAAAAATAATACAGATAAAGATGAACAATTTAAAAATTTGAATAAAAAATTGGATAAAGTTAATATAGAATTGGATTCATTAAAGAATAAGACAGAAAATCCCGAATATGAAATAAAAGCTCCTAAAATTGCTAAAGAGAAAGATAGGTATGTATTTGAAGAATTATTTTATAAATTATTTTTGATAACGCATGCTCTAATTTATAAATATATTTAGGAAAAAATATGAATCCTTAATTGAACAAAGAAATGTGTTACAAAAGAACATTGATTTGATAAAGTGATATTAGTAATTGTCGTATTGTTTATAGAAAAAAAAAAAATTTTTTTTTTTTTATTAAATAAATGTTAATTATGAAATAAAAATACAAAATTTCATCATAATATATAATTAATACAAATTTTCTTAAATTCTATTTTATAATTTTTTTTTTAAATAATATTTTTTTTAATCTAAATAAACATCTTTAATATAATCATAAATTTGAAGATTTAAAACATCATAATTATAAACCTTAATACCATATAATTTAAAAAGTTTAACCTCATCTATTAAAGAAGATAAATCTTTAAAATTTCCATTTAAAAAAGTAATCTTAAAAGCTAAATATCTAATTCTTCTCTTTTCCATAATATATTTTTTAATATAAGGTAAAATATCATGACCACCTATTTGTATTTCATTTCTAATAACTAATTTATTAATAAAAGTATTTTGAGAATTTAATAAAAATGATTCAAAATCATTTAAATTATTAATTATAAAAGATAATTTTAAATATTCTAATCTAAAAGGAAGAATTTGACCCAAATTTTGTAATACAATAGAACTAATAGGATCATAACCAATAGTAAGATAATTAAGATTTTGACCAAAATTTCTAATTAAATCTAAAATTAAATAAATATTTTGAAAATTATTATAATCAAAACCAGGTAATTCAAAAAATTTAATTTTTGTACAATATTTTATAATTAATTCAATTAAAGATTTTTTTAAAGAATGATTACCAAAACCAATATTTTCTAAATAATCACCAGATTTTTGAAATAATAATTGAAAACATTTAATTTGTAACATTTCATTAATAAATAAAGATCTTAATTTAATAGGTTTGTTAATATTAACAATATTTTCAATAAAATCAAAATTTAAAGAATGACAATCAATAATATGAATTGATTCTAAAACATTTAATCTTTCAAAAATTTCTTTAAAGATTAAAATATTTTTAAAATCAATATGATAAAAAGTAATAGTATTTAAAGTATTTGAACAATTAATTGATAATCTTAAAGTAGATAATAAAGAATTATATAAAGGTAAAGAATCAAAATCTAATAAAATTTTTTTAAGATTTTGTCTTGAATTAATTATATGAGATGATATAGTATCAATTATTGAATCTTCACTCTTTTTAAATTGAAAATTAATATTTGTAATTGAAATACAATTTGTATATAAAAATTTTAAAAAGAGGTAAATATTTGTTAATTTAATATTTCTAAATTTAAAAGAAAATTTTAAATTTTTAATATCACGAATAAAAAAAGGATTTTGTGAAATTATTTCATAAATATCATTAAAATAATTATGATCTTTTAATCTTATTAATATAATTTCAAAAGTATTTAAATTTACATTATTTTGAATAAAAATTTTAAATAATGATTTATAAATAAAATTTATAATTTCCATTCTTAATTCAATATTATCAATAATTTTTTTTTCATTAATTTTAAAACGTGAATTAAAACCTGGTAAATTCAAAGTTGATAAAGAAGGTAAAGATTGTGAATTAGAATTTAATGATAAATTCTTAATAGGAGGTAAAATACATTGACCAAAATTATTTTGTTGTTGTTGAATAATAAAATTCGAATTTTGTTCATTAGAAGTAGAATTTTGACAAGTTAAAATCCACTTATCAATAGAATAACTAATTTTAGATGTATTTAAACATTTAATAAAACTAGAATAATTAAATAATGTATTTGATTGAAATAAATTATTATTTATTCCATATTCGTTTAATTTTGTTTTATCATAATCGTTCAAATTACGTAAACAAATTCCAATAAAATTATAATTTTTTGTAGGAATTGAAAATGGGTCTTCCCATAATAATGGGATTGCAATACGACACCATAATCTATTAACTAAAACGCATGAATGTAACATTGAAAAATCATTTTGAAAATAATGTATAATTTCATTTGCTAATTCAGGCAAATCTCCCAATGATATTTTTGAATATGCCATAGTTTAAAGGGAAAGAAAAAGATAAAAAAAGGAAATTAAAAAAAAAAAGAGGAAAAAAAAAGAAGAATAGGGAAAAGATAAGTAAAAGTAAGTTAGAATTTTAATTTTATTTTTAAATCTGAAGCGGGTTATGTAGACGTACGCAAGTGATAAGTCTGTTACGTTACTCGGATCTACCTTACACTTCTATTTGGCGTGGATCCGGATGCATCAATCAATAAAAATATTCTTGGTTATAAATAATTATATCAAAAATATGTATTATTATATAATATAATATCAAAGGGGTAAGGTTACGAATTAAAGTTAATATTTTATGCATGTCTTTATATTTATTTATTACACCAAATCGCATATGAGGAAAAAATGACATAAAATCTGAAACAAATAAAGTATTTTTAATCCCTATAAAATAAAAAATAGAATTGATGTACGGAAAACATTACCAAATTTGTCTTTATGAGTCCGGATAATATCCAGAAATGTCAAAAAAAGGGACCGACTTATCTGGACCGTTTCTGCATATCAAATGTTTACATTTCATTGTATTAATCAGATTCGTCAAGAAATTCAATAATAAATGAATTTATGATACATGTGGAAAAAATGAATGAAATCATGAAATTTATAAAATTTATAATATTGCGTGATTGTATGAAACTTTTACGATCGAAAAGTTTCATAATTTAAATAAATAATTCTTAACTATTAATACAAAAAAAAAAAAATAAAAAAAAATGTAATCTTTATAAATTTTTTAAAAAATACATAACACCTAATTCTTTTAAGAAATTTCATATCGTTTAATAAATTATTTTATATGTTTTACATGTTCAAATTTTTTAGATTTATATAAACTATAAAACTAAGTGTATCAGAACTCTCTTTTTCCATTCAATTTCTCAAATCGCGTTACTATATATAAATCATAATATATATATATATATATAAAACATTTTAATTATTTTATGTTATATTTATTTCTTTATGTTTGTTACATAATTTTACTGAACACCCCCTAAAAATCAACATTTCATACATTGTCATACATGTGGACCTTGTACAATCTTTTATATAACACAATATAATATGTATGACAATGTATGAAATTAAAATTCGATTCTTTATAATGGTTTTATAACATGCAATTAAACGCTTGTTAAAACCATAATATACCATATTAATCTCTTTCAACGTTATTGCAATTATTTTATTACGTCATTAGAAGTATAATTTTCGCGTCATAATTTTGCTTATGCAGCGTTACACTAGGTAATAAATTAGATTAGTCAACATATTTTACTTAGTACCATCGAAAAAAAAAAAAAAAAAATTATTTTGACAAATATAATCAAAATATACATAATTGTTTTCTAAATTATCGTTAAGATCCTTATATTGAATCATATCATGATTATCTGAAAATCTGGACTTGCGTTTTTTGACTTAATTAAAAATTCTGGAAAAAAACTTAACCGTATTATTTTTGTCAGATGATTAAATTTAACCTATTACATACAATACTTTAAATCTCGGCGGGAAAATCATGGATTCAAGCGAAATGACGCAGGGGAAATCCATCTTGATTGTCGTTATATAAAATTCCGAAAAGAATAAATTATACGTGGCCAAATCCTTACCAATCATCTTCTATCATTTGTTAATAATTGTGCAATAATGATATTATTGTGTGACATTAGTCCTGTTCAAATTCCGGCCGGTTGCATATTTCGGTAAAACTAAACTAATCTATTGGTGAAACATGTTTCAACCGAAAAAACAAAGTCAAAAGGTCGTGTGTGTTACGCAAAAATTCAGGAAAATCAAAACAAGGACTGAAAAGTGCAACCGACCCGGAATTTGAACATGTTATAATTAAGCTCTCATAAATTAAGGTTTCTTTATTATATCGTACGAAAATTCTTTTTTATTGTTAATTATCCTAAGTTTGACTTGATCCAATACAAATAGATTTTTTTTTCATATATTTGATATATTTCGTCTAAAATAATGTGTACTGGCAAGACCCCGAGCAATATATAAATAAGTCATAAAAAATTAGCAAAAATTTACTATATATTAGCTCTACGCATTTTTTCAGGGCCGGAATTATTATAATGTCGGTCAGATATTAAAATAAGTAATAAAATTCTGACCAACATTATCGAAAATTATCTAAAAAAGGAAAGATTTTCATGGTTATTTTGGCCTATTCTACGCGTTTATTTCTTGTTACCTATTTCAGTATTGCTCGGGGTCCTGTACTGGAGCATTATCAATTAAAAAGGATAATTCTTCGATTTTTTTGTTTCAATAATTAAGTACTTAATTCTACTTGCTAATTATTTTAATTATTTACGAAACCGATTTCAATGATTTTGTTATTATATATTATTGGATGATTAAACTATAATAGTCTAATAGCACGTATAATATTATCGGTTTGACGGGACCGTTATTGCAATTTTTATAACTAAACTCCCGTTACTATCCAATAATTTTATTATTGTGCTAATACATAGTAATATGAGATAACCGTGAACTTATGAGTATTTATTTTTTGATAACGTATGTATGACTTAAAGTTATAAACATCTTACATTGACTTACAATATATATACCGCATCTGCACTTTCGAAAAACTCAGTTTTTCTTTTTTCAATTTCAAAAAAAACATTCAACTTTTTCTTTTTTCAACGTCGGATCTTATCATTTTTTTCATCAAATTCACAATTTTCAACATCTGATCTTAACAAAATTAACGTCGGTTCTTTAAAAAAAATATACAGACAGTGTTTCTCACAATTTAATACTAATTATCATGATGAATTGTCTCAATTTAGGAGAGAACGCTGAAAGGCTTTTCCGATACAAATTACTACTAACAATACAGTTTATGATCCACTCGAAAAACTCACAAAGCTATAGATATTGACGCAAAAAATTTAATTCTATGGAAAGTTGAAATCCTTGACGAAGTAAATGAAAAGACACACTTGTTAACAAAGCATCCTTTTTAAATTGATATCGAAAAAAATCTTGAAGGCATAAAATTGTAAAACTTACTAAATACTTTCTCGGATTCATCATAATCGTACGACTGTTACCTACCACTGGTAAGGGTTTCAGTGTAAAATATCGATTTTGTCTGATATCACTTTCTTTTTCCACGCTAAAATAGGTCCTTCGCAAAGCGTTGCACATGATACAGAGAAATTTTACTAAAAGAGATCTTAAAGGATGCGAAATTTGAAGTACTGAAAAAGGACAACTGGGCTACCTATTCCACTAAAAGAACGGAACACTGAACGTGTTTTACATATAATCGCTAATAATGCTACAAGTCCCTTTACTCCTTGGCCTTCAAAACTGGTTTAAATTTTCTTGTCGCACCGGAATAGGTGAAATACAAATTGTTAGTTAGTAATTCCCATGCATTAGGTAAAACCCGTTGAGGATTGAATTGTTCGAATCTCTTAAATGTAACTGGACTATCCCGTTTCAGTGGACTAATTCACATTTTCTTTACTTTCTTCTTGATTTTGTCAATGGCGTCCATCTGAGTGAATTCGAATTTATCTGCGTCAATCATCATTTGTTTCCGCATTACATATAAATTCTTTGCGCAAATAAACTGTCACTTGTTTCCTTTAAATATACTGCGCTTGTTTTCGTCTCGTACAATTTCCACTTCGGTTTTCGATATTTGAAGTTAATTGACTCCGCATTGGTCGTTCGGTTTTACATAAATAAATAGAATAAAAAAATGTTTTTGAAGTCACGATCTATAAAATTTTTTTTTTATTAAAGCACGTTAACATTAAAGCTTGATTATCAATAAAATTTTTGCACTGCGATAACAGATAATATGACTTTCTCAACTATTATGCTGTTTGTAGGATATTTCAAAATATCAGTTATAAATCATTGTTATTTGCTTCTTCCTGTTTGAGTTAAAAAGGACTAATTTTTTATATTATTGCATTGAAATAGGATGATATTTAATAGCTCTTTAGGAAAAAGATTTTAACACGTAAGCATTATCCTATAAAAATTTTTCAGAAAAATGATCACGTGTCTGAGTTTCTTCGGAATTAAAACTAGAAAAATGATCACTTATCGGAGTTTTCCCCAGAATTTTTTTTACAGGGTTATATGAAGATAATATAAATTTAATTTAAATGGATTGGTTTAAAACTTTTTCTTAATTAAAAAACAAGAAAGTCCGTCGCGACTGTCTTGTAGTTGTCTTAACACAATTTATAAGTTCCACAAGCGATTTAGAAACCAACAAGTTTGTTCTTACTTCGCTTTTGTTTAAAATATAACAACAATATCAATGTTATAAGTGTTATCATGAATTCTAAAGTGTAATTTTGGATTCTTTATATTTTACTTGGTGATTTCTTATTAGATCAGTTGGGCTATAATATGAATGGAGTACATCCCTTTACTTGGTATTAATAGAAAAGTTAAATATTAGAAAACAAATTCAGACAAATTATTATATTTGATTCCACAGCTGGTAATGATTTTGCTTTTTAGATAGAAATTGTTTAATCTTGTCTATTTAAAGACATTATATTTCCTCTTATAAAATAATAGAGACAGTTCAAAGAGTTGGTGAGAATGTAATATATTCAAATACATCATACGGTTTTAGAATTGTTTATGGTCCAGCTTTAAATGTATGCAATAGTACTAATGGCCAACAAAAGTAATTATTATATTTAATTTTCTCATATTAAACTTAAAAATCTTTATTATATGATCGAATTGTTTCAATCTACCGCAAAACACGTTAAAAGCCATTTGAATTCTAATTTGCCCCTATGTCGAAAACTTGTTGCTTCACAAAATCCCGAAATTATTCCGAATAATGCGGAAATGAACTATTTATTTCGACTTTTTATTATCCTGATTAAATTCCAAGCAAAGTCGCGCGCTTATTAACTGGTTAAATCAAAAAGCACACAATTCGAAAATACTGTACTTCAAAGTAAGATATTTCTCATTATTGTTTATTTTATGGTATCATCATTATAAATTTTTTATTTATACTCAACGCCTTAGGTCAATTAAAGTTTATATGCAAATTCACAACGAACATCTATAGATGACTATCTTGCGTTTTTCGTTTGTAAGGATAAACAACAGGCTTATCAAATTAATCCTTTAATGAAATTAGCAATACGCAAAGTAATCTTTGCGGCTCAAAGAAGCAGACACCATCCGTAATGTGTTTAGCATCTATTAAAATGAAGTTAGTACATTATACATTTATTTCAATTAATCCTTTAATAAAATTAGGCACTCTAAGTTAGAGGTTGATCCGTTGTTTAATTTTGAAGATCGTTCAGATTTATAGTCCTAGTGACCCACAGATTAAATGGTTTAGTAGGTAGTCATTGTGCTAATGATCATATATGATGACAAAGTTTTAAAATTTTAATTTCGTAATGTTGTAGTAATTGATTTAGAATTTAATATTTGACGGATATCCGGATAACGGATATCCAAAGTGTAATTTGTGTATAGCGAATCTATTGCTATATATAAAATCGAAATAAATTTTATGGCTAAAACATCAATTCCGCAAAGAACATTTAAAACACTTATTTGTAACTTTAAATTATAATTTCACTGAAAATTCAAACGGATAACGGATCCAGTCGCTACTTTAAGTTCACTTACCGTAATAAGATATATTCTAATGAAAACAAATCAATTGATGACAATATCCTAGAATATTGATAATATTGATTCTGAACCAGGAGGTAAACATGATTTTTTGATATTCGAAAGTTTTCATAATAGCCATTAATGTTTTTAATGTTATTAAATCGTTTATTCTCTAGTTTCGATCAAAAAGGATAGTTCAACGGTAATATAAATATACGCACACATATATCAGATATCTTATACGCAATCTAGTTTGCGAAAAGATAAATCGGAATATCAAATTATAACTTTCCTGAAAATACAGTATCTTTCCATATAAATTCAACAAATATTGAACAGCATGAAGAGTCACATGTAAGATCAACTCTTAATCTTAGTTATAAACTCAAAAGACACCTAAGTCTCGTAAACCAAGTGGAAATAGTAAAAGATAAATCAATGAAGAAGGACAACAAACAAGCGGATCAAATGAGTTATATAATACTTTGAAATTATAACATTATTACTGCAGAACCATTATTGGAATTTAACAGCTTAAATATAGAAAGTTTGGCCTATAAAAAATTTTATCCGTTATTTCTGTAAAAACTCCGTAAAAACGAGTCTTTCACGGATCCATTCACGGAAAATGTAAATAATTTGATAAATTCCGCCTTTTACGGAAAAAACGGAGTATAAAAACGGATCGACTTTTTTACAGGGATTGGAAGGACTTAATAATGAACCTTCACAAAAAGATTATTTCTCCCACGAACTTTTTTTTTTATTATTTAATAGATTTTTAAAAAGTAAAAAGGAAGTTTAATATTTTTTAAAGAACCTAAGTGTGAAAAATTGTTATTTATTTTATTTACAATGAACGCGTTTTTTAATAAATTTTATAATATTATTATATTAATTTTAACACTTTAGTAAGTAAACAAGACTTGGGTGACTAATAAAAATCATTTAACAAGTATGAAAACGCACACATGTTAATTTTTGTAAATATTATTAAAATATTTGCGAAAAAGAGATGTTTTTGTTTCAAGAAAAGCTTAATTAACATTAAAACTGAAATTAAAAATTTTTAATATAAATTTTCAAATTTTGAAAATTTAAACAGTACATTATCAAATTGACAACAAACTATCTCAACAGCAGAAGTATATATCATTGCTACCTTTATTCAGTATCAAGAGAAATAGATACAATAGCAATAGATAAAGCAGATGAAGTACATACAGAAGCAAATACTAAAAGGAATCAAGCTGTTAGGCCAGTAATCATTGAATATTCTCAATGGCAAGAAAAATTGTTAGTCAAAGATGCTAAAAATAATGAATTGGGATTGAGATTCACGGTAACAAATACATTGAAAATTCGAGATGAACTTATTGATCGTGAATAGTATTTATAAAAAGTCTAAAAAGTAATTTTTACAAGATAGATATTTAATGTAATAAATCAAAAAAAAAATTGCTGTTTTGTTATTTACTTTGAATTCTTTTATATTAAAAATTTTATTATAAAATTTCGACTTTACCAGAAATCTGTGTCCAAAGTCATATGTAACCCTGCACCATTTTTTCCGGTGATGTTAGGATTGTTTTGATGTACACGAAACAATAATGAGCCGGAAAACAATTTTCTTATTATTCTATCATGTGTAAAATTTATTTGGTTATAACTTATAACATATTTTCATGCTTTGGCTATAATTGGCAAAATTTAAATAAATAAAACATTTTTCCAGGTTTAGGCTTTGCCGCTATACTATTCCAACGTTTTTTTTTTAGAGAAAAGATTATTTTTTTAGACGCACTCTTGGCTTGTATATGTCAGTAATAATTCTGGCCTGCATTATAAATCTGGTCTTAGTGTCACATAAATGTGTTCTTAATTCGGCCAAATCAATAAATTCTGGTCCGCACTAAGCATTTTGTCCCGGATAGCGGGATAATTTTTTCCGAAATTCGGATGATTTATCCGAATGCACTACAATAAGCCAAGAAGGATTGGTTTAATGTCACAAGCTATTATTCCGGAGAATTTTCTACATAGAAACATTATCTACATAAAATTTCCATAGAATTCTTGTTATTCTTTCATAAACTATAAATAGCCTAATATACCACAATATTTTCTATATAAAACATCTTCTACATGGAATTTCCATAGAATTCTCGTTATTCTTTCATAAACTATAAATAGTGTCATATAATGCCATGTTCAAAATTTTTTTTTTTTTTTTTTTTTGAAATACAACAATATGAATACGCCAAAATTAAAAACTAGCTCTATACCTATACTATTTATTCCTTTTAACAGCAATGAGAAAAAATGCAATATTTGTGGGAATAGATACTCCAAAACACTTAAATTCGAACAAAAATATTGCAAAAATTGTTTATTTCAGTATCTTAAATATTCGACAGGAAATAATACATTCTTGGATGCACACATAACTACAAATAATATTCAATGTATTAAATTTAAAAAAAATGGGAATAATTTTCACACAATGAACATTCAAGAATGGTGTGAGCATTGTTCTGAAGTCTCATACTTTAGACAAGTGATCCCAAATATTTTAACTTTTAATAGATACAATTTACCAAAAAATTGTATTCATAATAATTATAGTACAAAAGATTGTGGATTATGTAAAAACATGCTACAGTCATTTGAATACGGACCAGGTTGTTATCAAATTTTTTCTGGATGGATAAAATCAACTTTGACTAAAAAGTTCATTCCAATTCTATATTTACCATGGTGGGATAATTGTGATCGATGTTTAGTTTGTCCATGGAAACTAAAATATATACACCAGAAATCAGAAATAAGTATACAATCTGACCGTCAAAAATGGTGTTCACATTGCTTTATAATTTATACTGGATGTAGTCATTGTCTAACAACAAATATTATTTTTGGAATCACGGATCAATCTCAATGTAAAAAATGTACAAGGATATCAGTTATTAATATTGATTTCAAAAATATTATCAGTGGTAATTGTATTATAGATAAATTTCTTGCTTCTACAAGAATTGACAACAAATATCATTATCAGATTGCTAATTATATGAATAATGTTACGAATTCAAATCCATTAAATGTATATAAGTTCATAGGGAATTTGCATTTAGAAAAACAAGTAATAGAATGGATTCCATATTGCCGAATTAAAAATTTAAGGAAATTAGCAGAAGGAGGATTTAGTATTGTTTATCAAGCAACTTTGTCAGGCGGTGTATACATGCATCGTACGAATGTTATGGATATTGCTGTAAAAAAATTAAATAATTCGCAAAATTCCAGTGAAGGTTTTTTAAATGAGGTAATATTTTACATTTTATATTTTTGCAATGTGTTTTTAAATACTTATTAATGTATTTATAATTTAGTTAAAATCCCTTTGTCAACTTAATGATTGGTCTTTTGTGATTAAGTGTTACGGTATTACACAAGATCCTGTAACAAAAGAGTATATGTTGATAATGAATTATGCTAAAGGTGGAAATTTACATAATTATTTGCAAAATAATTTTATAAATATTACATGGAATGAAAAGCTACATATTTTATGGAGGATTTCAGCTGGGTATTGATACTTTAATAATGTATAAATTTATTATACATATTTAAGAACTAATAAAAATTTCCATTTCCATTTAGACTCAATATTATTCATTACAATAATCTTATACATCGAGATATTCATAGCGGAAATATATTGTCGTTATACGACCCATCTTTTCAACATTGGCTAATCGGAGACTTGGGATTATCACAACCTGCAAACAACACTTTGCCAAATGATGAAATATATGGAGTAATACCCTATATCGCACCAGAAATACTTACTAAGAGTTGTGTATTTTCAAAAGAATCCGATATCTATAGTTTTGGTATGATAATATGGGAACTCACAACAGGTTGTAAACCTTTTGCTAACGTTGAACATGATATTAATCTTATTTATGAAATTATTGATGGGAAACGACCTGAAATTACAAATGATACTCCCGAATGTTTGGCTAATTTAATGGAAAAATGCTGGGATGCCGATCCTTCAAAAAGACCAACCAGTGGGGAAATTTTGAATTCTGTTGAAGAGTGGTATTATCTTAATGAATGGAATAAAGGGTATTATGTAAATGGTATTTTTAAATCTGAAAATAAAATTATGAAAGTTATAGTATTTAAGCAAGCAGAAGAAAAAAGATTAGAATTAATACAGCTAAAGAAACTTGGTCCTGAATTTAGTGAAAAGTCTCCAAAAGCAATTTATACAGGAAGTTCTTTGAATTCTAAACAGACTACAAATTCATCTCCAACGATTTCATCAAGTATTAAGCATGGTATATTATTAAATCACCATTATTACATGACATGTACATTAACTCCGATACTTATCTTTTGTTGATTATTTTAGAATATATTACTAAAGAATTTGAACTTGATATTAATATAAATAATATTCACCAAAGGTAATTAATATACCGAAAAAAAATTAGTAATAATATAATGAAATATAATAATATACTCTTTTTTTTAGCTCATTCACACAAAGCCGTTCGAAAAATTTCTCATCATCATTAAGTCAATTAACATCAACTGTAATTGCAAATTCTTTAAGAAAGCGTAATATTGAAGAATTAAAGGTTGACCCTCAAAAAAATAGTAAGTAAAATTTTTTGTTTAAATATATAATAATATTTATTATATCCATTTTAAATTCATTTTTTTTAAATCATATAGGAAAAAATATTAAAACTAACAGTTGAGATAGAGAAACATATTTCAATATAACTAAGTTTATTAATGTTCTTTAATATTACAGACTATAATAGGACGCAGAATTATATATAAAAGGGTCAGGTTTAAGTTTGCGTATTTTGAACTAAAAAAAATCATTAATTTTTTATAATGCCAGTCAGAATTTTATTTCCTATTATAGTAACCGACTGACGTTATCATAATTCCGGTCCTGAAAAAATGCTTATAACTCATAGTAAAAAAATTTTTTCATCACCTAACTATATATATATTTCTGGGTCATACTATAATCTTTTTATATAGAACACGGTTAAAGAATGTATACATCATAGCATATTCATTCAGTTTTATTCTATCATTATTATTTTTACACATTTTTTTTCGTAGATATTTTCAAATAATTCATTTGTTGTTATGAATGCAATGAAAAAAATAATTTCATTTGTTAATTCATGCAAATCTTTCAAATAAATAAAAAAGAGGAAATGAGTGATTAGAATCAATTTATTTTAAATCCTAACAACTTTCGCAATTCACGTCTGAAGGCGATCATCCAAGTCAATTATCATATGATTTTGTCCGACATCGGTACTATACACGGGTATCAATCAGTAAAAAATATTATTGATTATAAAGTATTATTTTAAATATATATATATCAAATTAGTGTGACCTCCTGTACGTCACCCTCTAAGGAAACCAGTATTCACAAATCTGGAAAATCTGGAATTTTCCTTAATAACTATATAGAGAAGGGTCGATTATTAGTGATTTATACCAGAGAAAATCTTGGGAAGTTTTCAGTTATTTAAGTAATTTATGATAGTGTTGCGCAAAGTTTTAAAACTCACTCATAGGAAACTATTTAAATAATTGAGATTTCTGCATGATTCCGCTAACAATTCCCTTCTCTATATAATTATCCAGGAAAATTGGGGTTTCCAGATTTTGTAAATACCGATTGTCTTAGAGGTGTGACATGCATAGATCGCACTAATTGAAAACAGCGATAAATAATGTAAACTTACGAATTATAGTCAATAATTATTTTGATCTATATATGGGGTATCCGGATATCTGAGAAAAAATAAATATCCGGATAGAAGATATCCGTTTTGACCGATTATATGAATAAAAATTTTTTAATCATTTAAATTACTTTTATTTATTGAAATTCTTATTTATTGAAATTATCATTTACTAAAATCATAACCCATTTTGCTAAAATTACGGTACTATTAGAACATTCGACGATCAAGAAGTAATTCGGGCTGTCTATAATGCTAACCTGAATTTTATAAAATTGACATTGACAACTCCCAGCTATTAAACGAAGTTTGGGATTTTTGTAATTCCGACCACCATTTTATGATTGGCCCAAATTACTGTTGACCCATGATTTAAAAATTTTTTTCTTTACAGTTAATTTTAGTTACAAATAGTATATAAATATAATAAAACCAATTAATTTTATGCTTAATCTTTCATGATCATGTTTTTAATGTTTTTATATTTGTAATGTATTTATTGTCCACAAATTTGATTTTCGGTTCACGTAACATTGAAATTTGAGGGGACTTGAGTTTTATTGTTTGTTTTTTATAATATAAAATTTTACATGACCCCTTAAAAATTATAAAAAAATTTTTAATTTTTAAAAAAGTCCATCTGGAAAATTTTATAACAATATATAAAAATTTTTTTTGAAGTTTTACAAAAACTGATCCAGCCGGGTGACGTAAACCGAAAATTCAAATTTGTGTGGCCTAACATAAAATATTTAGTAAAAATATAGTAATGTAAAATAAGTTATAATTTGACTTTACTAATAGAGAAAGAGCAGTTTTTTATCTAATTTGGCCGATTTTTTTTTCAAATTTTCACAAATTGGCATAATTCAGGCAAATTGATAGTGCCGGCCAAAATTAAAAATATATTTTATTTAAAATTATTTGTTAAGATCTATTTATGAAAAAAAAATTTATATATATAATCTTATCTGGATTTTGATTACTATCTGATTGAAACACTAGTAATTTCCAGACATCAAAAAAACGGACAAACTTATCCGTACATTGCAGTAACTGCGGACAAGGATGCAATCATATTATCAATTTTAATAATTGATAATATCTTTAATCAAATATTTCACATTAGTTAATATTGTACTTAGGAGATAAAAAATATATATATATATTATGTAAAAAACTTGGATTGGCTAGAACAGTTTGAAAACGCTATAATTATAAAAAAAAACACTAAAGTTTTTAAGAAAAATTCTTGTGAATTTCTTGCTTTAAACAATGATTATCAAAAATAATAATTTTAATAATTTTAATAATTCAAAGTTTTAAAGAAAAATTTGTGGGAATTTCTTCCTTTGAACAATAATTATAAAAATAATGTATAAATATTATGTCTGGGGACGAAGTTTAAGTAATATTAAGTAATATTATAATATTAGAAAATACATTTTATTGATTCATATTAAAAGTATTACATTAAAATAAAATGTGTTAAAATAAATTTAGGCTATTGATAAACTTTAAACTTTTCTGTTATGGTCAGATCATACTATAATAATATCACTTATTCTCCTGTACTATAATATATTCAATTTATTATGCATTCGTAAAACCTGGTATGTAAACCATCGTATAACATCATGTAAATTCTATTCCTCTTCTAAATGAAATAAATCATTTACAATATATTTATAAATAAATTAGGTAAAATATTTCACTATACCAGCATTAGAGCGGAGTATTTCACAGCTTTTAACCCTGTCTGGAACTCCACCCTATTCGGTAATGATCTGGTGATATTTAGCAATACCCTATTTTTATACCTTTTAAAAGAAATATAGTAAATCTTTGTTGTATAATTAAAGTAATTAAAGCATTCTCGTCTCACAATTATTCACTTAAATAAAAAAAATATAGAGTAAAACTTATTTCCTTAACATTAATCCATCGATGTGTTTGAAGGATAGAGTATAATATTTTAGAATAAGGTATACCGTACATTATAGATATTTTTGCTTCAAAGTGTGACTAACCGCATATATATACTTCATACACAGTTCGTTCAATTGTTTCTGTAATATATGCGAAATTGCTAATTTTGCTCTCATATTTGATGTATTTTAAGAATAAAAGGCGCGTTTTTATTTATTTAAATGTAGTTTACATGTGTTCAGTCAGAACTACTAGATATAATAATTCAGTAAGCAAGCCAATATGCACCATATTTTATTTGCGATAAGCCGATATAATCTAGCTCCGGCCGGAATTAATCTAATTATCGGCTTGCGTTTTAATATAAAAGTAAATACGATAGTAAAATAATTTTAGCATAAACTAAAATATGGTATTTTCATAAACAAGATTGCGTAACATGTTATATAATAAGAAAATTGGTTTTTGGATACTTGATATATTGGCTTAAAAATCATCAGAATGGGTTCATTATAGGTTATTATAACCATATTTCATAATTCTCCTTCCTGATAATAAATTGATTTTTTAAAAAAAGTAAAATTCAGATATAAACAAATAGTAGTAATTATGTTCTGGATCAATGATGGTCAGTATGAAAATGACCTACTTTTAAAAATTATGTCATGTATTCATCATAATCCTTTCTAAATTTTATTTTATTTTATTTTTTTAATGATATCTTTATTCGTAGATAAACTAAAATTTGTCCTAACAAGTTCAATATTAAAGAAAGGGGAAAATAAAACCAAATCCGAAAAACCTTTTTTTCATATTAGCTTCATAGTGGGTGGTATCTATTGTAATTCTGGTCAAAATTATATACGGCTAATTTGTAATGATTGAATATTTTTGTTAAAATAATTATTTTTTCTCTCTCAAATTAATAACTTGCAATATTAATACTACTATAATAAAAATTGTGAAAATTTTTTTATGATAGAAGCAATTAAAGTTTTTATCAACAACCAAAAGTCTAAAGTCCTTTATAAATCTCTTTAACTATTAATAAAACTAAAAAATTTATAAATTAAAAGTATGAATCTTTTAATATGTATGAGTCAATAAAAATTAAAATATCTATATTTTTAAGTATTTTATAGTTCAGTAGTGATGCAACCTTATCAGATATATAGAGTTATTCTATTACTTTGTCCACTAGTATTTATAATTTTTTTTTGATAAATGTTAATATTAAATGAGAAAATAAGTTAAGTGAATAATTCTAGTTTTTCATTATTAATTTTTTTCTTTTTCCTTTTTATCCTTCTGGAATTCTCTAATTCATCTTGAATATCATCTGTTCCTTACTTATGTTTGTCAGGAATAAAATTTTTAGTTGACTCCCACAAGTTAGTAAACATAAATGTAGCTGAACATCCTTTCTTATAATTAACAGTTGTAAAAAAAAAATTATATACCTTATGTGCACTTTAGGATATTAGGTAATATACCAATAGAGTTTGTAAAGGAAATAAATTTAAAAGTATATTTTACTATAACCGTTTTTTAGAAGGACTTTTGATCGAATTATTTTATAAGAATAAAAACTGAAAAAAGGATTTTCAGTGTTGTTTATATTCTTTCAGATATAAAGTAATGTTAGTCCAAAAATGCAATTTTTTTTCTTATTAACATTCATATATTCTTCTTTATTTGCCTTTTCACTTTGATCTTCACTTTTATTAACCACTATTGTCTCCATGAAAAATTCATAACATTTTTCAAATTAATGATATTATTTCTTTTGAATTAATTCTATTTTCAATAATTTTAAATTATATATAATAATATTTTAAAACATTTAGAAGTACTAAACATTTTATTTTGCAATAATCCTATAAGAAAACTCTGATCATTTTTAAAAAAAGGAATTTGAATTTTATCTAATGGATTTTTTCAAAAAAATAGGTTGAATACTTATAATCAATCAAGTGAAAAAATAAAACCTTATTATCCTCAAAATATTTCCATTTCTATCTAGAGAATCCTTTTCAAGTTTACCAACTTAAGATTGTCATCAAGTATATGTTGTTCAAGGTTTTTTAATTGCAATTGTTAAATATTATATTTTTGAGTTGAAGTGGAAAGTGGAATAAATTTCCCGGGAGTGGGAGAATCATTTGTTGTTGAATTTTGTGTGACAGGATCGTCTAAGATAGTTATGTGATTTGATTATTTTTTGGACTTTGAGTAATATACTTCAGTTGTCATATATTAATCCACAGATAATAAAATTACTTCTATCCATTTTTTTTTTTTCGGAGATCATGTCATAAGTATATAAAAATGAATCGCTTTGACACCACCATTCCGGAAAAACATCAAGTTGCATATTATTTTCAGTTTGCTAAATAGTATTAGGAAATGATGAATCTGACTATTGTATTTAAGTAAGTAATATTTAAAA